ATGGGAAAAATTGGGGGGAAAAGTGGGGAAAAAATGGGGGGAAAATTGGGAAGAATGAGGGGAAAACTGGGGAAAAAATTGGGGGAAAAAGTGGGGAAAAATTGGGGGAAAATGGGAAAATTGGGGGGGAAAATTGGGGGAAAAACTGGGGGAAAACTGGGAAAAATGGGGGGAAAATTGGAGTGGAAATTGGGAAGAATGGGAGGAAAATTTGGAACGTTTGGGGGAAAATGTGGGAAAAGGTGGGGAAAATGGGATGGGATTGGGAAAAACGGGATTAAAAGGGGTTGGGATGGGGGAAAAAATGGGGGAAAAATGGGAAAAAAACTGGGAGAAATGGGACTGGAATCGGTTAGAAAAGAGCTGGGATGGGAGGGGAAAAAGCGGGGAAAAATGGGCCAAAATCCGGGGAAATTTTGGGGGATCTTGGGGAAAAGGGGGATTTGAGGATTTTGGGGGGAATTCCCAGGAATTTACGGGCTGGGGGGGGAGCTGCTCCAAGGCACCGATCCAGAGGAGGATCCCGAGGGACGGACGCGGGGGGAGCGGCGGAGAGCCATGGCTGGGGCTGCAAAAAGTGGGGGAAAAGTGGGAAAAAAAGGGAATTTTGGGGGGTTTCTCGAGGCTGGGACCCCGCCAGGGGAGAGAATGGGGAGTGGGATCACCAAAATTCCCTCAAATGGGAAAAATGAGGAGTGGGATCACCAAAATCCCCTCAAATGGGAAAAATGAGGAGTGGGATCACCAAAATTCCCTGAAAAGGGAAAAATGAGGAGTGGGATCACCAAAATCCCCTGAAAAGGGAAAAATGAGGAGTGGGATCACCAAAATCCCCTCAAATGAGAAAAATGAGGGGTGGGATCCCCAAAATCCCCTCAGGAAAAAAGGGGGGACCCCAAAATTCCCTCAAATGAGAAAAATGAGGGGTGGGATCCCCAAAATCCCCTCAGGAAAAAAGGGGGGACCCCAAAATTCCCTCAAAAGGGAAAAAAGAGGGGGTGGGACCCCAAAATCCCCTCAAATCACAGCGTGAGGGGAGTGAGGCCTCTCCCTCACGTTTATGGATTCAAACCCCACAAAACCCATAAAATTCTCCCACAAAAATTTCCCAAACCCTCCCGGATCCCACCAAGGGCACTCCCAGAGCCCCCCGAACCCCAATCTGAGGGGTGGGGGTGAAGCTCCTCCCTCACAAAACCCCCCTGGAACGAGGAAAGCCCCCCCCCCTCACAAATCCCACCCGGATCGCACTGAAGGGGGGGGGGATCGGAACCTTTTGGGCCTCCCAAACCCAATTTGAGGGGTGGGGGTGGATCCCCTCCCTCAGAAATTCCACCCGAAGTGAGGGGAGAGCAGCCCCGCCCTCATAAAAAAACCCCTCGGCCGCCACCCAGGAGCGGGACCGGAACCTCTCAGCTCCCCGAAACCCCCCCTCAACGAAGCCATGAACGCCCCCCGCACCCTTCCCTCCCCTTCGCGGGGCCGAAAATTCCGAAAAACCTCGAAACTTCCCCGAAAAGAGCCCGCCCAGCCCCCCCCGCCTCACGCCTGCCTCGCTTCGCGCCAAAACAAAATGGCGGCCGGCACTTTTCCCGCGCCTCGGGGGGCGGGGACATGCCCCGGTCACGTGATCTGAAGAGGTGGGGGTTGTGCGGGAGTGGGCGTGGCTATGCGGGGAGTGGGCGTGGCTATGCGGGAGTGGGCGTGGCTATGCGGGGGGAGTGGGCGTGGCTATGCGGGGAGTGGGCGTGGCCTTCGCTCGTGGCGCCAAAACGGAGGCGGGGCCTCCTCGTGGGGGGAGAGATCCCAAAATCCCCCGAAATTCGGGAATTCTGCCGGGAATTCGGGGTTTGGAGGGGTCCGGAGGGGGCTGCGGGAGGGGGTTCGGGGCTCCCCGGCGGGTGAGGACCGGGAGCGCCTCAGGAAACCCCGAAATTTGGGAATTCCGGAGGGGAATTCGGGGTTCGGAGGGGGCTGGATCCCAAAATCCCGATCCCAAATCCCAAAATCCCAATCCCAAATCCCAGATTCCCTGATCCCGAATTCCCGTTCCCGAATTCTCGCTCCGCCCCATTCCCGGTCCCAAATTCCAAAATTCCCGATCCCAAATCCCCAAAATCCCAAATCCCCAATCCCAAATCCCGAATTCCCGATCCCAAATCCCAAAAATCCCGATCCCAAATCCCAGATTCCCGATCCCGAATCCCGAATTCCCGATCCCAAAATCCCAAATCCCCGATCCCAAATCCCGAATTCCCGAATTCCCAAATCCCGAATCCTCGATCCCAAATCCCAAATCCCCGATCCCAAATCCCGAATTCCCGATCCCAAATCCCGAATTCCCAAATCCCGAATTCCCGAATCCCAGATCCCGAATTCCCGATCCCAAATCCCGAATTCCCGATCCCGAATCCCCAATTCCCCATCCCAAATCCCGAATTCCCGATCCCAAATCCCGAATTCCCCAATCCCGAATTCCCGAATCCCAAATCCCGAATTCCCGATCCCGAATCCCGAATTCCCAAATCCCGAATTCCCAAATCCCGAATTCCCGATCCCGAATTCCCGATTCCCTTTTCCCTCCCCGCCGCTCCTCCCGTCCCGGGGCGGGGCCGGGGACAAAGGGGGAAAAGTTCCGCGGGGCCGGGAACAGAAGGATCGGGAACCTCGGGATTCCCGGGAAAATCCGGGACTCCCGGGAAAATCGGGGATTCGCGGGAAGTTTTTTGGGATTCGCGGGAAGTTTTTTGGGGATTCGCGGGAAGTTTTGGGGATCCCGGGAAGTTTTTTGGGATCGTCCCGGGATGCGGCGGAGCTGAGCGAGGCCGCGGTGAGAGGGGAAAAACCGGGAATGGGACCGGGGAAAAACCGGGAATGGGACCGGGAAAAACCGGGAATGGGACCGGGGAAAACCGGGAATGGGGGGTGGAAAACCGGGAATTGGGATTGGGGGAAAAAGCGGGAATGGGGGACCCAGGGGACACCGGGAATTGGGATTTGGGGTCTGGAACTGGGATTTGGGATCCGGGCCGGGAATTTTGGGATTCGGGCCGGGAATTTTGGGATTCGGGACAGGGATTTGGGATCAGGACTGGGATTTGGGATCCGGGCCGGGAATTTTGGGATCCGGGACTGGGATTTTGGGATTCGGGACAGGGATTTGGGATCCGGGCCGGGAATTTTTGAGGATCCGGGCCGGGAATTTTTTGGGATCCGGGACGGGAATTTTTTGGGATCTGCAGCAGGAATAATTTTGGGATCGGAGGCAGAACATTGGGGATCCAGGACAGGAATTCTTGGGATCTTTGTCAGGAATCTCAGGATCTGTGGCAGGATTTTTTTGGGATCCTTGGCAGGGATTTTTTGGGATCTGTGTCAGGATTTTTTTGGGATCCTTGGCAGGATTTTTTTGGGATCGGAGCGGGAATTTGGGGATCCCATGTCAGGAATTTTTTGGGATCCTTGGCAGGAATTTTTTTGGGATCCGTGTCAGGAATTTTTGGGATCCTTGGCAGGGATATTTTTGGGATCGGAGCGGGAATTTGGGGATCCGTGGCAGGGATTTTTTGGGATCCGTGTCAGGAATTTTTTGGGATCCTTGGCAGGGATTTTTTGGGATCCGTGTCAGGAATTTTTTGGGATCCTTGGCAGGATTTTTTTGGGATCCTTGGCAGGGATTTTTTGGGATCTGTGTCAGGATTTTTTTGGGATCCTTGGCAGGATTTTTTTGGGATCGGAGCGGGAATTTGGGGATCCCATGTCAGGAATTTTTTGGGATCCATGTCAGGGATTTTTTGGGATCCTTGGCAGGGATTTTTTTGGGATCGGAGCGGGAATTTGGGGATCCCATGGGGGCCCCCCCCCCCGGCTGGCGCCGCCTGGCCCCGCTCGGGGCCGCCCTGGGCGTCTGCGTGGCCGTGGGATTCACCCTGGGGCTCCTGGGGGGGCCCCAGCGCCGCAGGTGAGACCCCGAATCCCGGGAAAAATCCATGGGAAAATCCCTGGGAATTCCACGGGAAAATCCCGGAATTCCTGGGGGTCCCAAATCCCCTAAAAACGGGGAGGAATTGGGGGAAATTCGGGGGTTTTTTGTCACCCTGGGGCTCCTGGGGGGGCCCCGGCGCCGCAGGTGAGACCCCGAATCCCGGGAAAAATCCTGGGAATTCCAGGGAAAAATCCAAGGGAAAATCCATGGAAAAATCCCTGGGAATTCCAGGGAAAATCCAAGGGAAAATCCATGGAAAAATCCCTGGGAATTCCAGGGAAAATCCATGGAAAATCCCTGGGAAATCCAGGGAAAAATCCATGGGAAAATCCCTGGGAATTCCATGGGAAAAAAACATGGAAAAAACCATGGGAAAATCCCGGAATTCCTGGGGGATCCTGGGGGTCCCAAAATTCCATAAAAAAAAGGAGGAACGGGGTCCTGAATCCCCTGGGAATTCTGGGGGGGGAATGTCGGGATTTGGGGACAAATATCGCGATCAGAATGTCAAATATCACAATTAGAATGTCAAATATCGGGATTAGAATGTCAAATATCGTGATCAGAATGTCAAATATCGCGATTTAGGGACAAATATCGTGATCAGAATGTCAAATATCGGGATTAGAATGTCAAATATCGGGATTAGAATGTCAAATATCGGGATTAGAACATCAAATATCGCGATTTGAGTGTGAGATATCACAATCAGAACATCAAATATCGCGATTTGGGTGTGAGATATCACAATCAGAACATCAAATATCGCGATTTGAGTGCAATATATCACAATCAGAACACCAAATATCGCGATTTGGGTGTGAGATATCACAATCAGAA